AATTCTTACAGCCCTGAACTATATGGGTGATTGCTGAGCTGGCATCCTGCTGAGGGCAGCAGCTCCTTTCCGGAAAAGGGGGACCCAGCGGTCATGATGAAGAGGAAGCCAACAAGAGAGTATCCCATCTGGAACAAACTCTAGCCAGCCCCAATGGCCAAGGTCAAAGGATTCTGAGACGGAAGGGGAGCTAGACGATCTAGTCCAACCTCATCACTTTACAAACTCAGCCCAGGGAGAATATATGACCCATTCAAAGTCACTCCAGGAGCGGGCAGTCTTGATGGGATTTGAACTCAGATTCCCCAATTCTGAAAGCAGGGAAACTCAACCAAGATAATGGCGGAGCATTTATTGTCTACTCTGAGGCAGGCACTGGGGACAGCAGGGCGGAAATGAAATAGCCCAGGCCTTCAAGGAGCTGACATCCTACTGAATGGGCCAGGCAGCCAACAAGCATTTATTCAGGATGTATTATGTGCTGGGCACCATGCCAGCCATGGGGATGCAAACCCCAAAAATGTAAACTCCCTTCTCTGAAGGGTCTCACAGATCATTAAGGAAAACAACACACACAAACACATAATATGTATTACGTCTGGACGTGAGTATGCATGAATGTTTGTGTATACATGTGTGTCTATGTATACACACATATATAGGTGTGTATGTGTATGTGTGTGGGCTGAGCATGTAGGTATGTATGAATGTATGTCTGTGCCCATATATACATACGTAGGTCTATGTTTGTGGGTAAATATTTACGTATGCATGCATGTATGTATGTAGATGTGCATGCATGCATGTATGTGTGTAGATGTATGTAGACAGGTAAATATATAGGTATGTAAGTATGTATGTATAAGATGGGCAAGTGTATAGGTATGTATGAATGTTTGCATGTATATGTGTGTGTGTTTATACATACACACATATATAGGTGTGTACGTGTATGTGTGTGGGGTGAGCATGTAGGTATGTACAAATGTATATATGTGTGTCTATATATACATAGGTAGGTCCATATGTGTGGGGCTAAGTATGTACATATGTATGCATGTACATATGCATATAGATAGGTAAGTATACAGGCATGCATGCATGCATGTATGTATGTGCAGATAGGTAAGTGTGTAGGTATGTATAAATATTTATGTATATTATATATGTGTGTGTCTATATATACACACACATATATAGGTGTATATGTGTATGTGTGTGGGGTGAGTATGTAGGTATGTATGAATGTATATATATGTATATGTGTATGTGTATCTATATATACATATATAGGTGTGTATGTAGGGGTAAATATGTAGGCATGTATATATGTGTGTATGCATGTATGTATGTAGACAGGTAAGTATATAGGTATGGATACATACATGCATGTATGTAGATAGGTGTGTGTGTGCATCTGTGTGCCCGTGTGTGCAGGTATGTATACATGTATGTGTACATGTGTGGAGGTGTGTGTATGCCTGCGTTGCTATGTAGGCAGGTGAATGTGTAGGTATGTACGTGCATGTATGTGTGTGTGAAGCTGCTAAGTATGTAGGTATGTGTGCATTGTGTATGTAGGTACATGAGTAGGTATTTAAGTATATAGGTATGTGTACATGTGTATAGGGAGGCAGGTAAGTAGGCAGATATGTATGCATATACAGAATAAACTTTCTCACTATACTCACTAGGTCTTTCCAGTCTCAGACACTCACTAGCTGTGTGACTCTGGACACGTCACTTCACCTCTGCCTGCCTCAGTTTCCTCATCTGTAAAATGGGGAATTATAACAGCCCCCACCTGCCAGAGTTGCTGTGAGGAACAGGTGAGGTAATATCTGTGAAGTGGTTTGCAAAACCTTAAGGCAGCACAGAAACGTCAGCTCTTCAGGTCTTGTCCAACAGCGCCAAAGAAATGAACCAAGGAGGAGGAGAGGAAGACGTTCCAGCTGGTGAAAACCACTGTGCACCAGGGAGGACCCAGGATTATTGATCAAAGAAGGAGACCCCGGTCAGAGGTGGCGGGACGGCTGAAATCCGACGCGAGCGCCCTTGCAGCCAAGGCCTCCATGGCATCTGGCCCTCTCTCAGACCCGAGGGAGGGCTGGCGCGGTGGCTCATGGGGTCTGCACTGCCTCCCCCTCCCATCCCCAGCGAAGGACAGGAGTGAAAGAACACTGCCACCTTGTGGAAGAGTCTTGTCCTGGACGGGGCCATCCTTTCGTCTGTTCACGAGGATAAATAATAGTAACACTCACTTCCGTGGAGCTCTGAGGTTTACAGGATACCTTCCTCCCACAGCTCCTACGAGGTAGACAAGGGTCGCAATCTACCTCCGAGCTTTCAGGAATCATGGGCATTCTCTACAATGATGCCAGCCACAACCGGGATGCCCTTTACTCCACACCAGAGGATGGCAAATATTATGACCTATCACCTATTTTCTGAATTTCCCTCTCCTTGGGAGCGAAGAATAGATTTGACCTTCGGACCATAGTTTGCCAACCCCTGCCTTTATATTGATGTAGAATCACAAAGTCATGGCGCATAGTGTTGTATATTTAGAGCTGGAGGTAAAGCCTTCATTTTACAGATGAGGAAACTGAGGCCTGAAGAAGTGATTTACCTGGGGTCCCATAGGTAGTAACTAGCAGAAGCAGGATCTAAACCCAGGTCCTCTAATACCCCAATCCAGTAGGCTGCTTTTTCCCCATTGCAACAGAATCTTCCTAAATTACTGGGATGAAAAACTTCATCATCACCCTAGTAACCGACCTCTCTAAGTCCCACTGGACTGGTCCTCAGACCACTTCAGACCAGTCTGTTCATGGGCTTGTCTCGGAAGTCTTTTGACCTTGGTAGAATCCTCCAACAAAGCCTTGGAGACCTGGGGTCATGTCTGAGTCCAAATGAGGCATCAGAGAAGACTTTAGTGTATCGGGGAATCATAAATGTAGGACTGGAAGAGTCCTCAGAAGCCACATAGTCTAATCACCTCATTTTACAGAGCATGAGACTGAGACCCAGAGATGGTGAGTGAGTGACTCGTCAAGGTCATACAGATTGTAAACATCAGAGGTGGAATTCAAACCCAACTCCCTCTTATTCTAGAGTCTGGGCTCTTTCCATCGCTACATTATGGGGACACTGAGGCATCCAGAGAGCAAGAGAGGTGCCCCAGATCACAGTGCTGCTCCATCACAGTGAGGACTGGAACCTTTCTGAGGCTCTGTCCCCAGGCTGGATGCTTCACAGAAGAGCTGGCCAACATCGGCCCTCACCTTGTTGAGGCTGCTCCGGTCACTCACGCTCTTGGTCAGCTGCTGGATCTCGGCCAGCTGGTCAGCCAGCCGCTTCTGCTCATTCAGTTTCTCAGCCAGCGTCTCCAGCTCTGTGAGGGCCAATTGGAGGGACAGCCTGTCTGGGTGACCTTTGGAGGTGTTCTTCAGCATGTCCTAAGAGGGGAAAAGGAGAGGAGCAGCTTCAGAGGCACATGGCACAGGGTTAGTCCTGTCTGATCTGATTCTTAGTTCTCTGTCTCTCTGTCTCTGTCTCTGTCTCCCTCCTTTCCTCTCTCTCTCTTTTTCTATGTCTCTTCTCTCTCTCTCTCCCCTCTCTTTTTCTCTCTCTCCTTTCCTTCCTCTCTCCCTTCTTCTTCTTCTCTCTCTCCCTCTCATTGTGTCTCTG